AATCTAAACCATGTTTCAGGGCAAAGCTGGGTGCCGACAGCATGGGAGTTAGAACAGACACTCCAGATTGAGGGAGCAAGGATTCCAGGATCCAATGAGTTGTCTATGTGATGCCAGTCCAAGCTTCCAGACCCCCTACTTTGTTATATTGGGGGAAAATGAAATGAGGGACCCTGCAGACTCTTACTAGGACAAACAGCGAGGTGGCCAGGGACGCCCTTCCCAGCTGCGCTGGACCCAGCAGCAGTCAGTGGGGAGAAAGATCCTCCTTTCGTGCCAGACCACCGATTTCCAGATGGGCAAACTGAGACCAGGAGAGGTGAGGAGCTCAAGGTCAAGTGCCCTAAACCTCTCTTCCAGTCCCCTTTGAGTTCCTAAAATTACCCTTGGAGAAGGGACGTCCCCACTTCCTCACCCTCAGCTCTGATCCTGCTTACCAGGAAGTTCTTCCTCAGCCCCGCTCAGCCCCTCCAGCTGGGATGTCCCTGAGAGCTTCTCTGACAGCCAGGGTCTGACTGGGCTCCAGGTGGCAGGACCCTGGCACTCAGGCTGGTAGAGCCATCCCAAGAGCCCGTGGCCTCTGCCACACTCACGCTTCACTCCCTGCTGGCCTGTTCTTTCAGCCACACAGCCAGAGACCACGCACATCCGCCCATCGCCTCACTCAACATTCAGTGAGTGTCAACACTGAGTCAGCTTTCGGGCTGCGAACTGGAGACGGAGGAATGACCCAGCCTTGTTTACTCCATACTGAAAGAAAACCTCCTCTGCCAAACTCCTGAGAGCTCACAGAGCTTATGGTCACATCATTCTCCTTACTGCAATGGTCCCCTCCCCTCCCCATTCGGTAGCCCCTATCTCCACTGCGAGAGCTCTCTATTCCCATGTCAATAGTCCCCTCCCCAACCACAATATTCCCCTCCCCCACTGTTGTCATCCCCTCCCCCACACAAGTCCCCTCCCCCATGGCAATAGTCCCCTCCCAAGGAAGGCAGCAAACCACACTGCCACGTGTGTACCTATGCAACAATCTTGCATGTTCTTCACATGTACCACAAAACCTAAAATGCAATAAAAACAGTGACAGCTAATAATAATCTCAGTGAAAAAAAAGCTACTTTGTATACAATTTTATTTTGCATATAAACATTTAACTATCACATATAGATATGTACCTACTATTTTCTTCTATGGATGGCAGGTAGAACAGTAAATTCTGAGATGTACTTTGGAATGATTTTTGTATCTTGGTAATTTATCATAGTTACAATAAAGGATTGAGCTTCCTTCATGAAAAAAAAACAAAAACAAAAACAGTCCCCTCCCCAACCACAATATTCCCCTCCCAGTGTAGCCATCCCCTCCTCCACACAAGTCCCCTCCCCCATGGCAGTAGTCCCCTCCCCCACATCAGTGGCCCCTCCCCTGCTGCCACACGCCCTACCCCACTGCAGTCAGCCACGCTTCTTTGCGGTAATCCTTTCGAATGGAGTTTCTCCTTCCCAGGTCCAGATTCCGGTTTATTGGTGGAGCTGCAGTTCTCTCCAGGGAGGTGGCCTGTGCGAAAGGAGCCGGTAAGGAGGAACTGGCCGTGGGCAGTGCTGAGGCGGGGAGGGCAGGGAGGGTGGTCCAGGCAGAGTGAGGTGGGCGCCATGTGCAAATGGAAACAGGGAAGGGGAGTGGGCCGGGGGTGTGAGGGGAGAGCAGCAGAAGCCAGGAGGCCTGGGGTCACAGGCAGGGAGTGTGCAGAGGAATTTCAACCAGCGTCAGCTTCGCCCTGGGTGGCAGGAGGGACACCACCACCGGGGGCTGTGGCACCGCCCAGACAGGAGCAGGAGAGGCGTGGGCCAGAGTGGCAGTGCTGGTGGAGACACAAACCCAGGACTGACTGCGAAGTAGAGACAGGAGTGGGGAGGGGGTGGAGGAGGAGTAAATAATGACTGCATTTTTTAAGTGGAAAGAGAAAGACTGGCAGAGGAAAAAGGTATTTTGTCACAGACTGGATAGGCAAAGTTCTGCTGCTGTAACAAAAACTAAGAGTGAAATTCAGCCGCTTCATGGATCACTCGGTCGTTGCTACATTGCGGCCGTCTGACGAGCCACTCCGAAACGCAGCGGCTGGCCCAAGTGCCAGTTCCTCAGTCTCGGCCAGCGTCTGGCTGCGGATCATCTGGGCCTCCCGGGGAATCCGCATTCTCTGGAAGGGCTGTGCCTGGGCCGCGTTCTCCCCAGGCAGGTGACAGGAACCCCAGAGGGCAGGACACACCCAGCCCCAGGAGCACGGCTGAAAACCACTGCCTGCAAAGCGGCTGCCAAAACTTCCTCGGCCAAAGCGGGTCGCACGGCTAAGCCCGGCCTCAGCAGTTTGGGGAACACATCCCATGTACTCGTGTGTACCGGACAGTCACCAGCGGAGGGACAGACTGAAAACAGAATGCCGAGAAGAGGAGGAGAATGCAGGGAGAGAGACAGGGGCAGAAGGAATCCCATCAGCAGGAAGGCCCCGGGAGCCCAGGAGAGAAGGGACAAAGGGCCAAGCGTGAGAAAAGCGACGAACAGGAATCAGAGGAGGAGGACAGAGGGCCGGTCCCGTGCTGTGGCCAGGGGCGGGCAGGTGGCCCAGGTGCAGCCTCAGCAGTGACAGGAGGAGAGGCCGGAGGACGGGGGGCAGCCAGCTCTTTGGAGGACGCTTGCTGCAAAAGGGAGCAGAGAAATAGGGCCACAGTCCACAGGGCCATGGAGTCACGGAGGCCTCCGACGCCTGGAGAGGAGGATGATGGGAGTGACCCAGAGAGGGGCCAGACCTGGAGGGAGAGGAGAGATGACTGCAGAAGCCACGGTGGAGCTGGGGGCTGGGGACAGAGCCCGGAGAGGCTGGAGCAGGGCGGAGCTGGCCGAGCCCGGAGTCGGAGGCCGGACCCTGCGGTCCGATCTACGCCGGCACCGCTCCCTGCTTCAAAGCAAACCACCATGGCACACGCCTACCTATGTGACAAACCTGCACGTCTGCACATGGGCCCTGGAACTTCAAATGAAAGTTGAAGAGGAAAAAAAATACTGTTATGCCTGCAGGAGGAGTCATGTCTGGGTCAAAGCATCCAATACTCCACTAAGAGGCAACATTATCTAGGAGGGAAAATTAGCCGCTTTCAACCCCCTGAAAACTCTTGGTTGGTAATAAATTCTGCACGTGAGCCAGCCGCTCCACTGGGCTGAGAAGCGAGGAGAGGAAGCTGGATTGGGTGGTCTGTTTCCATTCAGTGTCATCCCATCGCCTCCACGTTCTCAGGTCCCCTCCCCGTGTGGTTCCAGGCTGGACTCGGCTCCGGGCAGCCGTCCGTCTGTGGTGGTTCCCAGACGTTCCCTGGGAATGGCTCACTGGGCGCTGCAGCCTGCCAGGGGCATCTTTGGGGCTCCCTCGTCATCTCTGCATTTCTGGGTTTCCTAAAAGTGACCTTCACCGCTCCTTTCCAATGTCTGTGTGAGCCTCGAATTTCCTGGATTAAGTCCACCTCCCTCCCTTGCGTCTCACTCGCTCTCTCTTAGCTCTAAATACTGAGTGTGGGTCCTGTTCTTCTGCCCAGACCTGTACGGATAGGAGCAGTAATAAAGTGAGAGGGAAGGGGGGCTCCGGGGCTCCTGGGGAGAAACGCTGAAGGACGTCGCTTGCCTGTGGGAGCACACACCCTAAGGTGTCAGGAAAGGGCTGGGATGGACAGAGAGGCATCATGACAGTCTCCACCGGGATCAGTGCTGCACACTGAATGTCTGTGTCCCCTACAAATTCATGTGTTGAAACCCTCACCCCCAAGGTGATGAGGTGATGGTGTTGGGAGGTGGGGCATTTGGGAGGTGATGGATTAGACCATGAAGGGGGAGCCCTCATGATGGGATTAGTGCCCTAATAAGAGACTACAGAGAGCTTGCTCCCTCCCTCTTTCTGTCTCTCTCCCTTTCTCCCCACCTCCCTCCCTCTCTCTCTCCCCCCTACACCTGCCCCGTTTGAGGATACAGCAACAAGTGACCACCTGCAAGCCCTCAGCAGACACCAAACGTGCCAGCACCTTGACCTTGGATCTCCAGCCTCCAGGACTGTGCGAAGCAATGTTTGCCATTTGAGCCCCCGGGCTGTCGTCATTTCTTGCCACATCCCCAACTAAGACGATCAAAGCCCGCCTTCTGTAGTACAGCAGTTTCCGACGGCCACGAGGCCAAGCAGCCGAAGACTACCTTTCCCAATATTCCTCACAGTGATTTGCTGCCATGTGACTAGATTCTGGTCCCAACCCAAGCTGAGCCGGGTGGCGTGAGCAGCATCTAGGCCCTGTCCCTAAAGCGAGAGGCATTAGCTCTTCCTTTCTTCCTCCTGCTTGCCACCCGCTGGAGTGCAGAAATGATGGCCGGAGCCAGAGCAGCCACGTTGAACTCAAAGACGGAAGCCACCTGTTGAGCACAGCAGGGCAGCAAGAGAAAAGACACTGGCTCCTTGCCACTGTGGAGCTGCCGTCTTGGCCCCGGGTTGCCTGTGTTTGGACTGTTACATGCATGAGAAATAAGCTTCTGTGTCATCTTGACCACTGTGAAACTCCTTCTTGGTTACAGCGGCTGGAGTGTGTATTTTTTTTTTTTTTTTTGAGACAGAGTTTCGCTCTTGTTACCCAGGCTGGAGTGCAATGGTGCGATCTCGGCTCACCGCAACCTCCGCCTCCTGGGTTCAGGCAATTCTCCTGCCTCAGCCTCCTGAGTAGCTGGGATTACAGGCACGCACCACCATGCCCAGCTAATTTTTTTGTATTTTTAGTAGAGACGGGGTTTCACCATGTTGACCAGGATGGTCTCGATCTCTTGACCTTGTGATCCACCCGCCTCGGCCTCCCAAAGTGCTGGGATTACAGGCTTGAGCCACCGCGCCCGGCCTGGAGTGCGTATTTTAACTCATGCAGAGATGCATCATCCACTCCGGATGGCTTACGTTTAAATGTTCTTTGCAGAGACATGAACTACAATCATACTACGGGTTTTAAAAATCTATTGTCCCTTAGTAGTGCTGCTGCGAATTTCTGTTTCAGAAGGGAAAATAGCACACTATCGTCTATAACTAGTGAAAATGTCTACTATTATATGAGTGTATATTAGTGAAGATAATGCTAACCATTCTAATAGAGCAAACCCAAGAATATACAATGGCCCAGCACAACCCTGCTTTGTATTTTGCTTGAATAAAGTCCAACGGGGAGTTTCTGATGAGCCAGTGGGTCTCCTTCAAGCTCGGTTCAGGGCAAGTCCATTTCCCGGGCAACAGGGCCCCTTCCTGAGTCATCTCCATCCAGTTACTAGGTGGGGAAGGGAGAGAAGGCAATGTCTTAGAGGGTAGGCCTGGAAGAGGCACGCGTCACTTCCACCCACATTCCTCATCCACAGCTCAGTCACATGGCCCCCCTAGACATAATAGAGTCTGGAAATGTGATCCCTGCCTGAAAAGCCAATTCCCAGTAACGTCCCTGCAGCTCCGATGGAGAGTATAGATCTTTGGTGGCTCAATAGCCATCTGTCATGACTGCGAAGATCTCTACAGCAGTTCCAGCAATTTATGGTTAAAAAGAGCTATGTAAAAATAAAGGTGTGTTCATGCATGCCCACATCAAACACCATCCGTGCTCCGCTGTTTACCTTAAGGAGACAAGCCAGTGACCTGCCCCAGACATAGCTCCACGCAGCTGAAATAAGAACCTGTCTCTTCTGCAGCAGACTCGCCTGCCAGAATCTGTTGCTGTTCCCCTCTGGGGAAGAGAGGGAGTGACCGCTTCTTCTCAAATGCCACAAAAGGTTCACGTGAGGAGGGAGAAATCAGACTGTGGTCACTACGGGTGTTTTCAAGCTACAAGGGCTTCTCCAGTTCACATAATCTCTTCGTTTTCATCCTACTTCTGTCTTGTCCAGAAGAAAGTTTGTTTGTGAAAAATCAGACCCTGGCAATGACCTTGAGCAGTAACTTATAAATGACTCCCACAAGCTTAGCATTCCAGTAATGGAACACTAGGCATAAATGGGTTAAACTTAACTTACAAATGTAACCCAGATATAAGCGAGGGCCCCACGTGGTCCAGTCTCAGAAACAAAATTCAAAGAGGTACAGTACAGCATCAAAGGCAGCTCTAAGCTGTCCTCAAATGTCTTCAGGAAGATGGTCATAGATTTAACTCTTTCTTTTTTTCTTTTGAGACAGAGTCTCATTCTGTTGCCCAGGCTGGAGTGCAGTGGCATGATCTTGGCTCACTATAGTCTTGACATCCTGGGCTCAAGTAATCCTCCCACCTCAGCTTCTTGAGTAGCTGGACTGCAGGCATGTGCCACCACACCCTGCTGATTTTTCTATTTTTCTTTCTTTTTCTTTTTTTTTTTTTTTTTTGGTAGAGATAAGGTCTTGCTACGTTGCCCAGGCTAGTCTCAAACTCCTGGCCTGAAGCAATCCTCCTGTCTCAGCGTGGATCTAATTTATAGCCCACAGCCGTACATCTTTCCCTCCTTCCCTAATTCTCTTCCTCCTGTATCTTTCTCAGGGCCTCTCACAGGGCAAATTGCAGAAACCCTCTCTGATATCCCCATTCACCTTTGCATCTCCCCCTACTACTTCTTTTCCTCATATTTCTTATAGAGATAGATTTAGCCTCTCAGATACTTCTTTAAATGGACTTTATATTTCTAGAGCGGTTTTAGGCTCACAGCAAAATTGAGCAGAAGGTACAGAGAGTTCCCATGCACTGTCTATCCCCACACACAGCCTCCCCAACTACTAATATCCTCCACCAAATACTACACTTATCACACTTGATGAACCTGCACTGACACATCATTATCACTGTATCAGTCCATTCTCACCCTGCTGATAAAGACATACCTGAGACTGGGCAATTTACAAAAGAAAGAGGTTATTGGCCTTATGGTTCCACATGGCTGGGGACGCCTCACCATCATGGCAGCAGACAAAAGAAGAGAGCGTGTGCAGGGGACTCCCCATTACAAAACCATCAGATCTCATGAGACTTGTTCACCACCAGGAGAACAGCAGGGGAAAGACCCGCCCCCATGATTCCATTGCCTCCCACTGGGTCCCTCCCACAGCACATGGGAATTCGTGATGGGATTTGGGTGGGGACACAGCCAAACCATATCAATCGCCCTAAGTCCGTAGCCCGCATTAGGGCTCACTGTTGGTGTTGTACAGTCTGTGAGTGTTGACAAATGTGTGATGACATAGACCTGCTATGGCAGTATGATACAGAGGCGTTTCACTGCCCTAAAAGTCCCCTGTACTCTACTTATTCATCCCTGCTCCCCAAACCATGGTGTTACTGGAAAAGGTGTCTAGATCCAGACCTCAAGGGAGGGTTCTTGGATCTCATGCAGAAAGGAATTCAAGGTGAGTCACAAGATATGACGAAGGAAGCATGTTTACTGAAAGCTACTCCAGGCACTTTGAGGGGGCGAGGCAGGCAGATCACGAAGTCAGGAGATCGAGACCAGCCTGGCTAACATGGTGAAACCCCATCTCTACTAAAAATACAAAAAATTGCCGGACGTGGTGGCTCAAGCCTGTAATCCCAGCACTTTGGGAGGCCGAGGTGGGTGGATCACGAGGTCAAGAGATCGAGACCATCCTGGTCAACATGGTGAAACCCCGTCTCTACTAAAAACACAAAAAATTAGCTGGGCATGGTGGCACGTGCTTGTAATCTCAGCTACTCAGGAGGCTGAGGCAGGAGAATTGCATGAACCCAGGAGGTGGAGGTTTCGGTGAGCCGAGATCGTGCCATTGCACTCCAGCCTGGGTAACAAGAGCGAAAGTCTGTCTAAAAAAAAAAAAAAAAAAAAGTACAAAAAATTAGCCAGGTGTGGCAGCAGATGCCTGTAGTCCCAGCTACGCAGGAGGCTGAGGCAGGAGAATCGCTTGGACCCGGGAGGCACAGGTTGCAGTGAGCCAACATGGCGCCACTGCACTCCACACTCCAGCCTGGGTGACGGAGCGAGACTCCATCTCAAAAAAAAAAAAAAAAAAAAAAAAAAGAAAAAGAAAAATCTACTCCGTTACAGAGCAGAGAACCTTCTGAGAGAATGTACCATCTTTGTTTTTAGTTTTTCTTAAGTAGGGATCTTGTCTATGTAACCACTCAACCAAGCTACGACTCTGTGAGTGAGAGCAGACAGCGTGACAAAATTTATTACACTATTGATTGAAAGAAAACCATCCTTGACAGTCTAATGCATGAGTACATCAAAGAGTAATTTTAATTATCCTGAAAGCATATATTGTTATGGGTGTTGGGACACTGGGTGTTGGGACAGCTGGGCTTTCTATCATTTTAGGAGTTTGTCCTTGCAGGCAGTACAAGCTGCCTCCTTAGCTGTGAACGTCTTAGGACCAGGGGTCATGACTGGCAAGGAACGTGCCTTGTTAGTTTCAAGACAAGGTCGATTTTTCAGTGGTGTCACTCTGGGTCTCCTCAGCTCCTGCTTCCCTAACACTGGCAACTCCTCTTTTTACTGTCCCCGTACTTTTTCCTCTCTGGGAATGTCACAGGGTTGGAGTCACAGGGTGTGTAGCCTTTCCAGACTGGCCTCTTTCGCTCTGTGATCTGCGTTTCCGGCTCCTCCATGTCTTCTCATGGATGGAAAGGTCACTTGTCTCCAGCACTGAGTGGTATTCCATTGTCCAAGTGGATGTGCCTCAGTTTACTTCTCAGTCACCTGCCGGAGGACATCTGGGCTGCTTCCAAGTCACGGCGATCGTAAATAACACTGCTGTCATCGTCCAATGCATTTTCAGGCTTCTCTCCACTTTCATCATTCTGCGGATTCCTCTTCACACTGACATCACAAAGACAGGACCCCTGAGGGATGGAGGAGAGCAGACCAAGGCAGAATCCCCCGCAGAGGGAAGGTGGGGGAAGGCTGGGGAGCTTCCCGGGGGGGACAAGTCTCATCCTGTCACTGGATGCACACAGCTCATGGAGACCACGTCGACACCGGCCTAAGAAAAGCAGCAGCAAAACTGTGAGATGGAGCCCGCTGGAGGTGAATCCATACTCAGCCTGTGTGTGTCAGGCTCCTAAGTACTTGCTAGGGAGGGTCCTCCAAACTAGCTCCAGGTCCTCAAAATTAGTGTACAGGTGAAGAAAGCACACCTCCTGGTTATGACTTCCAGGTACAGGACGCTGGCTATGGACCAGATACTCCTAAGGGCTGCACACCCCGCACGCTACCTGATCCCCCGTCTACCTTCGCTTTACAGAAAGCATGAAGCAACTTAAGCAGCTGGTCTGAATTTGCACAGCTGGTAGATGGCTGAGCCATGACTCACACACCGGTCCACCCACCACCAAAGCGGGAGAGCTCAGGCATCCTTCTAAGGTCTGAAAGGGAAAGAAATCCCTTAACCAGGAGCCTGTGTGATGGCATTCCCACCCTCTGCTGTCCCACCCCCACCAAGCACCCGTTCGAAGGCTGGTCACACCAGTCACTGCAATCCACGTGGAGCGTAGAGATGACAGTTCTAACAAGCATTAGCCTTCTAGCCCAACCCCACTCTGCGGACGGCAAGAGGGAGGCCGACCCCACTCTGCAGAGGGAAAGACTGAGGGGCAGAGAGGATGTAGGTTTGCTGCAGATGATCCAGAGTCTAAGTTCCCGGCTGACTCTAACTCACTGGGAACGTTGCTTTCACCAAATGTATTGAGTGGCTTCTCCATCCGCGTGGCTTTACCCTGACCTCACACCAGTCCCACGGCCCAGGTGTGAGGCCGAGCAGTCCCCTCTGCCTCCTCCCTGGATTTCAGGAGCCATGTCTCCCTTTATGAAACAGATGCCATTTGGGGAAGACTCGCATTGTCAGGAGCGCTGTGGATGCTCAGGGCCGAGAGCAACATGATGATGATGCCAGGGGAGGGAACGTGTGCTTTTCAGGAGGTAAATCACACTCTGCGAACCGGCTATTGATTTGTGCTTTTCCTCGGCTGGTAAGAGCCGGGGAGGCTGCCTCCACTGTGATATTTCTGCCAGTTCTCATCCCCAGTGGGAAGAGGAATTGCCTGTGTTTGCTGAAATTGAAGCCGAAACCCAGCCGGTGCAGATTGGTGTGGGGGAGCTGGGAGCAGGTGGGAGCTGGGGTGTGGAAAGGGGACCCAGGCCATGGGGCAGGGAATGAGGGAAGGAGGGGGCTGTAGCATGATTTGGGAAACAGCCGTCTCAGGCCACACCAGGACCATGGAGGGTTTATTGGGAGTGGGTGGACCTACCACAGAATGAAGTCTTGAAAATCAGCTGCATGGAGGAACCG